ATTATTAGCTGGAAAACTAAAAGGAGGGAGAAGATATATAGATTCTATCCTCCATTTTGATCAAATATTCAAATTCTCTTTCGATATGGTCACTTCTATTCGTCCCAACCCAACTTTTAGTCATTTTCTCAAACTCAAACTCAAACGACTCAGCATAAAGAATAACTCTATTAATTACATTAAATATAATCAAATGCAGAATCAATATTCAAATTACTACTACTTAAAGCAATCACAGAGAGTTAATCTAATGCTTAATTGATTCATATATGGCTGTAATTAACAATGCTTGCCTTGGTTTCTGCTGCTTGAGTTGTGTCTAACTGGAAATATTGCAGTATGTGTTTTAAAAAAGCAAGTGTGAAAGCGAAACCCCAGAAATAGGAATAGGAATAAGCCACTCAGGTTAAAAGCGATTTCGTTTTCAGACATATAGTTTAAATAATTGTTAAGTCAAATAGCTTTCAAGTTGGAAAGAAAATTCCATTCCATGTGACAAATCTGGAGCTTGGCTTGGCTGTAAAGTTAGTAAAAGTAAGAAGCAGCTCAAAAATTTAATAAAGGTCTTAAGGAATTTCAACCAATGAGGGGTCGTAAAAGAGAAACAAGAGTGGAGAGTATATGCCCCTCTTTTTCAAGTAATGTACACTTTGGGATGGCCTATATGAAACCTTAAAACTCCCACATTAGGAAAAAAAGAAGAAAAGAAAATGTTAAAGGAGGGAAAGCTCGATCACTTCTCTCTTGGCTTATAAGCCAGGAAGGAACCTCCACCACAACCACAAATGGCTTTAGATTCACACTATGCTTTGCAAGCTAGCTAGGTTGTGACATTTTTTTTTGTTAATGTCCATGTCATGGATTGGTTGGACCAATCGGTTGCTTCCATTTGGAGCATTCGAAACGCTACACTTGGCAGACGAAATTCGGCAGTGGACTTTTAGCAGACAAAGAAATGAATAATGTCTTGGCTTTGCTAGTTATCATGGGAAATGATTATGGCTGCGTATACCACATTAATGGGGTCGGCAATGCGTGCCTATTTTGTTCTCTTTTTTCTTTTTTCTTTTGTTGGAGGAATATGTAAATCATGCAAGTGCTTCCACGATGAAGAACAATGAACTAACACATAATTATGTTATTTCTGAATTTTATTTTTTTGATTAGGCATATGTATGGAAACACACGTTTTTGCAGTGGTGAGTTGACTTGAGAGGAAGCTTTTACTAATGGAAGTAGAGGTGAAGTGAACTTGGTCATTTTGTATGGCAAGCTTAGCATCTTAAGCTAGGACCTTTTATGAAGAAATTATTCGTTTACTTATCCTAAAGTAACAAGTGCTTTCGAGCATCTACTTTGGCCTTCCATTTTAAGTTTTAATCCAATTCACATTAACACGAGGTGTAGATGATGAAAGCACAACATTTCTATATATATAAAATAAAATAAAAACTATTAAGATTTCAAAGGGACGGACTCATGTCCCACTACTAGCAACATTAATATTGTCCTCAAACTTACAAAGCCCAGTAAATATAGAGTATTATCACAAAAAATCTCGATGTTATTAGTAGTGGAATCACTTATTATATGATGTATTTGATTTTGTCAAAGTTTCCGATGTATAAGCTTCAACAAAAATGACTTAGTGACATGCATAAGAAGAAAAGGCATCAATATAAGACCAATTCTAAGATAAATTGAATTTGGCTTAAAGGGATTTGTGAGTTTTGAGTTGAGAACAAGGCAGGCAGGGGAGGTTGAAAACTACAAGGTGAAATGAAAGAGATGGGGTTGATTAAAAAAACAGCTGGAGTGGATTGTCTGGTAGTGCGCTTTGTCTTTCTTCACCAATTGCAATTGGAATTGCTTTGGTATATCATGGGGTCCTCACTTGAAGGCACTTTTGGATTCTTTTGGATGTAAACCCTCCAACTGATGTGAGCTTCTCAGAAAAAAAGAGGGCAAGGATTAAAGACAAAAGCAAGCGTATGCCGCTTTTGTTCAAGGCAAAATTGTTATTGTGTAATGTAATTATCATCAGGTCATACTGGGTTTGGTTGGTTACCATAATAAATTAGTATCAGAAATTCACAGCTCAATTCGGGATAATAATTTTTGAGGTTTTATTTACGTTTGCATGTCATAATCAATACTCCAAATCCTATAAATCTCTTGATAATTAATCAAAGACTCATCAAATGGTGATGTGAAAGCCACTTCACGCGGATTAATTTATTATTTATACGAGATAATAATAATAATATATAATACAGTATTTTTGCCTTTTTCCAGCATTCTGGTTTCAACTTGTATCTTATTTCAAATCAAATGATGACAATTTGCTCTGAAACTCCATAATTTACAGAGAGGAAGAAGAAGAAGAAAAAAGGTGACCTAACTGTCAGTGTTGTTGGCAAATAATATACAACTTAATTATTCCCAAGTTTGACTTGTGCAGTCTAGCAACTTGGCAGCTAAAATCCCAGCTCTCGATTGCGAGTTTAACATTAAATTATAATTAGGTATAGTTTAAGCGTTAATTTATTTGTATTTCTGGAAATTACTATATCTTTTCATAAATGTCTACGTCGTCAATATGTAATATTAGTAATTTATTTGGAAATTGATGTATTGTTATCGTCCCATACAAGCACAAGTGAATGAGTCAGTGGAGAAACAAAGTTAGGTGACATGACATGACATATCATGTTTGGACATCGGTTCCTATTTTATCATAGATTTTTTGTTTGGTTTCTGCTCGCTGAAAAACAAACAAGTTTTTTCTTTTTTTTCTTTTTTTACTTGAAGGAAGGAGACACTCTCAATCTCAGATGTTGGTCCAAAAAAAAAGTTACAGAATAATAAGACGCGAATATTTGTTTTCATATTTATCAAAATTAGGGTTTGGTACTGCAAGATTGAAGAAAATAGCTTGGATGGATGGAAGGAAGGAGACACTCTCAATCTCAGATGAAAAGGCCCGAGGGGAGACGTGTGATGTATGTCACCTTTATTTCTCTCTTGTACTTTGAAAGGTGTGGTGGAGGTGTCACTTTCAGGTTTTACTACTTGTTCTTCTGATAATTAATTTAAGCTAATATTTTATATAATTTGGTAAATAAATATTTTATATCCGTGTCCAGAGGAAATTATGCATTTCCCATTTGAGTAATTATTATTTTCTTCAAAACTTCTGTGGTGCTCAGTTACGGTACATGTCAAGCTCAGCTCAATTGATCGTTCTTCTCTCTCCTTTGGTGGGGGAGGGCTACAGCATATATATACATATATATATATATATATATATATAGAGTGGTGATTTCATAGTATTTCTGTCAAAACAGTAAAAGCCTTTAGATCATTGAGAGCTAGGACCCAACGTTTTCTGTAAAAGTTGATAGTTTTTAGGTCCTTCCTAAAGTGAATATGTCCCTTTCGAGTTTTGATCAAATTTCTCAGCGACTCAACATATGAGAGAAATCATGGCTTTCAATTTAAAGCAAAATTGAGCAGTTTTGTTTTTTTAAAAGTGGAATTACTTTCATTGTGCTGCAGTACATGTTGTCCTAGTCGAATTATTTGCAGAACAGAATCATATATACAAACAAGCCTTCTGTTTGGAGAAGAAGATACTAAAATCTGAAAACTAAATGACAGCATTTGCACCAATTCATAATAAAACGTAATTTGACCCTTATGAAACAGCAAAACTTTGGTGTAGGATATGTGGTTTGCACCGGAACGAGTCTTCTGTTTGGAGGGCCGTGAGTTAGAGTAACGCATGCATATTGCACAGAGAAAAGTTAACGGAATTGCCATCTTGGTTGGTCTGTTGTGCTTTACGACAGAGAGAGAGAGAGAGAGAGAGATAAGGTGTGGCATTATTGAGGCGTTTGGAGTTTTATGGCAACTTACAAGCAATATGTGTCTTGTTCCACTTGTCCAATACCGAATTTACTTCATCTACAAAGTAAAAACAAAATAATAATGCAGATTTTATTTGTTTCTGGTTTTCTCCTTTTTCTCGAGTGCGTGCGTTTTGAACAGTAATAAGAGGATATGATCTGCTTTTTAATAAAAATGAATCTGTTTGTTTGTTTGGTTCAATCAATTATTGGCATCGGATTGGATCATCTAAATGTGCACATTATACATACAATTAATACAAGGTAAGATTAACTGTTGTATCAGATTATCATCAACACTCGTTTTAAAAGGTAAGAATGCGTTTGCTTTTCGCATCCTGTTTTTGGTTTTTTAACAAAAGGGTTAAATATGGCAAATCCCACTTAAAGAAATAAAAGCAAAAAGAGTTTGGCAGCTTAATTAATTGTTTATTAGGGGAAAGAGTCGGTCGAAAACGACTCCCATCAAGCCCATCAAGTAAAAGACCTTAAAGCTTAAGCTTCAACTGCAATTCATATTTAACCCTACTACACTAGTACTAGTGTCTCTTTAGATATTTTTGGCTCAAACCCTAGTTGTTTTTTTCTTGAAACAAAAGGAAGGAGACAAAGAATGGCTTGCTCTTTTTATTCAATTGCAAATTCCACGTACGCCAACAAGGGAGGGAGAACAAAGTCCAGAGTCTCCCTCCCAACTTCCGGAACAGGGGGATAAAACAAGGGGGTCTTTTTCTAGGGCACAGCCTACATGACCCTCCCTCCCTCACAACAGGACAATTTCTGGTGGTGGTGCCCATTACCTTTTTATGGAAAGGGCCAGCCGAGTGGCAATATATGCCCACGTGTCGACTTGTGCTGGCCTGTGGTTGAGTTGTGCACATTATATTATATTTTATATATATGTCTTTTTATGCGCTACCAAAAACCTCTTCAGCAGTAATTCTGAATTGCTTGGGCTTGGATCTAGAATCTTACCAAAAAAGCCTTCTTGCTTGGCCTTGGCGTCCCAAATTGTCATAAAAAAGGCCCTTCTTTCGGCCAATTGTTTGGGCTTGGAACAAATTTTATGGAAAATTAACTAAGAATTTCATGTAAAGCAAAATACAAATAAACATATTACTCCCAAGAATTTTAATCAAATTGTTATCTAAAAATGAAACCAGCACACCATATTAACAGCGTTCGGACCAATCCGGACATCCTAACCACCCTAGAAAAGAACACACACCGCACCTCAAGTTCAACAATAAGCAAGAGCTGAACTTAAATAAGTCATCTTATAATGATGAGCTCAAAGTTATCAGCGACCCCAAACTGTCAGATTTACTGTATCTTGGCCCTTGAGAAATCCATCTCCGGATGCTGCAAAACACCATACCATAAATAAACTAATATTAGCAAATTTGCACACCTGTTGCAAAAGGGAAATTTCATAATTGAGCAAGTTCATAGTGTATTTACGAGCCTCAAGAACTCACCTCCGACATGAATTTCTTTAGGATATCTTGTTTTTGCAATTCATCACTGGTCGGGAGCCCCATCTGCTTCTGTCTCTGATCAAACTGCAAAGTAAAACATACAGCTCTTAGAAACCGTAACGGAAGGAAACATGCATACAGATGGAGGACCGCAGGTGGAAACAAAACTGATCACAGCAATCTTCTTTTGATAATAGTTAGAAAGAAAAAAAAAACAAACAAACAAAATAAGTGGGAGAGTTACCATCATCTTTTCAACAGTCTGCCTGGTTTCAGAATCCAGGTCAGATAATTTGCTGGGCTCAGGGTCCACCTTTTGAGTGTCTATCTCGGGATCACCTTTCACCAAACTTTTCCACCACTCCATTTGATTGTGCTTGGTCAGAAGAATAGAGACAGCAGTCTGATCCTTGAAATAAAATAAGTCATCTTATAATGACGAGCTCAAAGTTATCAGCGACCTAAACTGTCAGATTTACTGTATCTTGGCCCTTGAGAAATCCATCTCCGGATGCTGCAAAACACCATACCATACATAAACAAATATTAGCAAATTTGCACACCTGTTGTAAAAGGGAAATTTCTTAATTGAGCAAGTTCATAGTGTATTTACGAGCCTCAAGAACTCACCTCCGACATGAATTTCTTTAGGATATCTTGTTTTTGCAATTCATCACTGGTCGGGAGCCCCATCTGCTTCTGTCTCTGATCAAACTGCAAAGTAAAACATACAGCTCTTAGAAACCGTAACGGAAGGAAACATGCATACAGATGGAGGACCGCAGGTGGAAACAAAACTGATCACAGCAATCTTCTTTTGATAATAGTTAGAAAGAAAAAACAAACAAACAAACAAAATAAGTGGGAGAGTTACCATCATCTTTTCAACAGTCTGCCTGGTTTCAGAATCCAGGTCAGATAATTTGCTGGGCTCAGGGTCCACCTTTTGAGTGTCTATCTCGGGATCACCTTTCACCAAACTTTTCCACCACTCCATTTGATTGTGCTTGGTCAGAAGAATAGAGACAGCAGTCTGATCCTCTGCAATGAGAATGGACATCATAAATTCAAATAACTCAGATGCCTAAAACCATGGATTATAACTAAAAAAATTAGGAAAGCATGATACACACATTCAAAAGATACTATTCCCTCAAAAACTAGTGTGGAACGTGAGAGAGACTCATAACAGCAAAACTGGTAAAAGACCCCACCCAAAAGCATTCAGATGTGTTTAACTTTAAATGACCACTTGATACTAAAATTTATAAACAAGTTTTGCACAGAGCACCAAGTGATCAATTTCACCATGAACTCATGACTATTTGCGATTTAGAAAAGCAAAATATGACTTTATTTGCACCTTACAAAGGCGAAATTTTTTCCAGTGTGTGTTTATGTTCCAATGTACACAAGTAAAATTCGACCCAAAAAAAATACACAAGTAAAATAATACGTTCATAAAGTGTAAACAGACATACCTATGCTCCAGTAACAATCATCAGGCTTGATAGACTGATAAAGCTCCCCCTGAAATTAGTTAATGTACATTAGTTAAGGCAAATTTAACCTAAAAGAAACAAGCTGGCAAAACGAAAGGCATGGAAAGGCAAACTTACATCAATAATAGGAGGCTGACCCTTCATTCCAAACTTCAGATGATTTTTCTTTATTTCGTACACAACGGACCGTGATTTAGTTCCAGGAGGTACTGGAACAACGATATTAACCTCCTGAAGGCTCTGCGTCCATGAGTATTTCTCCAAATCAAGTCCATTGCCTTTGTTTGGAACTGTCCAGGGAGATTAGTGTTAAATTGGGAAAGCAAAATAGAACAACTTATAATGCACACATCCAAAAACACTTTTGCCCCTACAGGCATGAAACAGTGATCACGTTTCCAAAGATCCAACACATTAGGAACCAATCATATCAAATTTAGCAGCAAAATCACATCGCTTTTGTTAATAGATTCAAACTTCTATAAATTTATCTTTGACACAACAAAAACACATGAATAAACGAAATTAAATCTTCGCAATTAAACAAAATCCTAAAATTGGACCAAAAGAAAAAAAATTCTAAAAACAATTTAAAGAAAAGGAAAAAGATCGGTACCTCTCAAGCCCTTCTTCTCTTTCTTGCCCTCCTCCAAAGGAGTCTCCTTTTTCTCTTCAACTTTAGCTTCTTCCTTGGCCTTCTTCTTCGTCTTCTCCTCCTCCTCCTCCTGCCTCTTCTTCTTCTTCTCCTCTTCGACTTTCTTAATCTCCTTCTCCCTCACTGCGCGTACGACGGACAGGACCTCCTTCTCCGCCGTCGGTTTCTTAAGGTAGTCGCTTTCTTGAGCCAAAAAGTCGAACACCTTCTCCACAAACCCTAGGGGATTCGAGCGATCCAACTTCGCGGTAAACGACGCCGCTTTAGACGACGGCGATGCCTGGGACGGCTTTGTTTCGGGTGCGTTCTGGTCCTCTTGGATATCGGAGATTATCGCCATAGCTCGATAAGAGTTGAGAATGAGAGAAACTAGAGAGGTCTCGGTTTCAAGCGTCTTGATGTAGGGTTTAAACTTTAAGCTACTGTCTGTTACAATTCACAAAGACGGATGGAGCTTATATATAGTGATGCTGTAGTCGGTCAGATTGGAGAATTCCAGAAACGCTTGCTTTGCCGATAACTCGTGCTTTTTGTTTTGTCTTTTTCGTTTTCTGAGAAAATAACGATAATGCCCCTACCGTGTTTATCGGATCCGAGTCCAGCCTAAATTTGGACAAATCAAGACTGAAGCTGTCTTTTGGGCTGGGGCTTGGGCTTACTATTTCTCACTCTACTTTTGTTTAAAAAATAAATAAATAAATTTTATTTATAAGCAAAATAACGATATAAGCTTTGAGAATTCTTAAATAATTTCACTTTGTTTTGTTTTTTTATTTAGAAAAGTAACCGGTAAAAAGTGGGAGCATTTTTGCTCACCACTTTAACTCAAGGTGTACCCTTACCATCATTCTCAACACTTTGCCATGAGCATAACCATAGTTCCATAAATACAAAGCAAATAGTTTATTATAGTTATGCCAATAGATACATGTCAAGTGTTGAGCAAAGTGATGATGATACACGTTGGGTTAAAGTAATGAGCAAAAATATTACCGTAAAAAGTGAATACTTATTACTAGGCTGCCCTACTGAGACAAGGCCTAGAAATGTTTTATTATGAAAAAGAAATTAAAATAAAATGGTAGGGAGATCTATTCTTCAGGCAGAAAAAGTGTTCCAACTTGCACATCAAGAAATGTGGAGCTAGAGCGCAGCTTCCATGGTGAGCCCTTTTTCTACAACAACAGCATCACGGATGACTTTGAGTGATTCTTCTAAATCATCCAACAATTTCTTAGGATCAGGTATTGCATCTGGGTCAGTGGCTAAGCAAATAGTCATTTTGTCAACATAGCTTTGAAAATGCATATGCAATGCCTGCAACCATTAAAAAAATAAAAAACTCAATAAACAGACACCCGAGATCATGTGTTCGAATCCCAATTGTGTTTACTATATGGTCAAATTAAGGTCACTGTCTTCAAATTGATTGGAATTAGTTGGTAGATTTGGAGGCAAGGAAACCTACATGAGGGTAGCCATAAACATTAGGAGCAATGTAAGCAACTGGGTGGCCATAAAAGCTAACTTCTTCCAGTGGACCAACCAAGTTTGAGAATGTGGAATTAGATAAAACTCTGTGTGCTATTGCTCCACATCCCTGCATTAAATTAATTAAGTCATTAGCTACTTAATCACAAAAAAGATAATTAAGAATATATTTCGTTTGTACCTTAGCTCCTAATAATTTGGTCAAGAGATTGGCAGTTAAGTATGTGGCAGCAGCTTCAAGTGAGTGCTTTTTTTTTTTTTAATCAGTGAGGGCTTTGGCTCCACGAACATAACCAAAGGGATCATTTTTTTATATATAAATAGTATAGCCGCGCGGCTATACTTTTTATATATATTAAAAAAACACCCGCGCGGCTATATTCGTTTTATTTTTTAAAAAACCCTAGTATAGCCGGGCGGCTATACGATATAAGTATATTATATTTAGAATTATTCTCAGCAATGGTCCCTCAACTATACCCCAAGTTACACTTTGGTCACTCAAGTCAAATATTAGTTGCAGAGGTCACTCAATTAGGTGTTTTGTTGCACCGTTAGTCCTACCTTCAAGTCTCTCTAACGGCAGGGACTAATGGTGCAACACAACATCTAATTGAGTGACCAAAATGTAACTCCGAGTATAGTTGAGGGATCATTGCAACAAATAATGTTAACTGAAAAGTCACATTTGCCCTTCAATAATTTAAGAGATGCTTGACACGTCATCATTTTAAGCAGAAAAAGTAACAGACTTAACATTAGGACTAACGGTGCAACAAAACACCTAATTGAGTGACCTCTGCAACTAATATTTGACTTGAGTGACCAAAGTGTAACTTGGGGTATAGTTTGGTGAGAATGTTTGCCTTTGGTCTATCTCATTCTCTCGAGTGCTACTAAATTTTGTTACTGTAGACATTATTTGTTGTAGAGAATTGCATGCTGAGTTGGAGTGTTCTTTCTTGGTAATTGCTTCACATTTCAAACTACACTTTACATGAACGATACTACCACCTCACTAACTACTATACCCTTAAATCTTTGTTTGAAATTGTTGTTCTGGTTGGCAAAGAGATTGCAAAATCACCATCTTGCATTTTTGTTACAACAAGTAAGAAATAATCTTAGCCTCTCACATTCTTTCACAGTTAGTAAAATACGAAACGGGAAAAATATGAATAAAATATGTACGTGTTTTATTCAGCAATATTTTGGCAAATTACAACTAATAAGTTCAGCCACTATATAATATTTTAATATGATTGATTTAAATTTTTATATATATATATATTATTTTTATTCAATAATATGTGAAAATTATTTGAATAATACGTGAATTTTGTGTCTATAATTAAAAATTTTGTGAAAAACAAGTGTATTAAACATGAAAAATACATACGTACATGTACAATACGAGTATTAAACGTGAAAATGCTAAATTCTTTATACTGTTAATAGCTCTAAAAAGGTTAAAATTCAAAAGGGGACAATAAAGACTCGGATAATGGCTTAATAGTAATGGATAATGCTCTAAACTACTCTTATAGGTACACAAAAATGGGGAAAAAACAATTAACAAAAAAAAGATCACAATATCTATGTAAAGAATATAGCCGATCGGCTATACTATTTATTAAAAAAATTAAAAAAAGAGCCCAGTAAAGCCGTGCGGCTATACAATTTTTAAATAAAAAATCCCGAGTATAGCCGTTCGGCTACACTAGTTATAAAAAAAAGTACCAGCTTAGCGCCTAGCGAGTAAGTGCCTACGTGTCAAAAAATGTATAGCCGCATGGCTATACTTTTATTTATTTATTCCAATCCAATTTCCCCAACCCCAGCTGGTCTTGGCCTCTTTGGCCATCATATCAGCCAGAGCCTGTTGTATGAGTCAAACCCAAGTACTAGTTTTAAACTTTCGGATTTTCATTAAGAATTAGAGATGTGTCAAGTAGTTTTATGCTTTGTTTTAAACTCACCTGAATCTCAACAGTTGCTCTTAAGTTCACGATAATGTTTGCTCTAAGGCGGATGCTTTTTGGAAGATTATTATTTCTCTTCTGCTTTGCTCCCTCATCTTTCTCATATTCATGACCTGCTATATTGATATATAGAATATGCAGATAGATACTAATGGTTGAATTTAAACTATTTAGGTAACAGTAGAAAGGGAAGAAAACTCACCATACCGTGAGAGGCCTGCTTGTGTCATTCCCACTACAGCATCATTTATGGTCTGATCAATGGAAAGAGAAACTAAGTACATAAATTATACAGTTTTTTCAAGAAAAAAAGGGCTATGGAAAGATGCATGCACAAGTTAACAATTGAGCAGGCCAACCAATTCTCAGAGGTGGGTTGAGCCTCTGCACAAGTCAGGTACGTGTGGCTCTGTGCAGGCCTGCCCATAATACAAAAGGACCAATGAAACCCAACTGCAATAAATTAAGTACTATGAATGTATGAAAAACCAAGCACTAAACAATTGTTACTCTAAACTGCTCAAAGTATCGGTCTGAATTGATTTGGGTTAATGGCATTGGCATGTCACTGTAATGTGGTTTTACATAACTGAGCAAAGCTCTCTTTAAGTACATTACCAAAGCTTACCCTACAAGAAAATGACAGCTTCAATTAACTACCTAAAAGACAAACATCACAGCTACGTCGAACCAACTACCTAGTCCACAATAGCAAGAAGAATCACGAGTTTGCAGCAGCACATGCAGCTGTTTGAGCTGTGTTTCCACTTATGTCCAGAACAACTCCAAAAAACCAATACTTGGGCATGCGCAAATAGAAGCTTAGACAATCTATTCTCTATCGAGACTAGTTTAGCCTAGACAACTTCTTCCTTGGTGAGCCCTCTGTCTAAAACAGCATCACAAATGAGTTTGAGTGATTCCTCTAAATCATCCAACAACTTATTAGGGTCAGGTATTACGTCCGGGTCGATGGTTAAGCAAATCGTCATTTTCTCAACGTAGCTTTGGAAATGCATATGCAGTGCCTGCAACAGAATGGCAAAAGCGAACATAAATAAAAAAAACCAAATAAAAAGTATATTCACCATTTTTCAAGAACAGAGTCAGGTAGTTGTTTCCAATATTTTAGATTGCAGTTAATTGGTAGATTTGGAGGCAACTTCATGATCAAGGAGAATTATTGGCATTTATAAGAGAACCTACATGAGGATGCCCGTAAACGTAAGGAGCCATGAAAGTTATTGGATGGCCGTAAAAGCTAATTTCTTCAAGGGGACCAACCAAGTTTGAGAATGATAGTGTGGAATGAGAAATAACTCTGTGTGCTATAGATCCAGCAGCCTGCGTGTGAAAACATTGACATTCTTAAAAACTATTCTAGTGTTCGCTCCTTAAAATAACAATATGCTGGAGAAGACAGAGGAAATATTGGTACCTTAGCTCCTATAATTTTGATTAAAACATTGGCAATTAAGTATGTGCAGAAAGCTTCAAGCGAGTGCTTTTTTCGATCAATGACGGCTTTGGCTTGACGAACATAATCCAGTGGTCCATCTTGTAGGGCGATGGTGAAGGGGATAAGAATATATCCGAACCTATTACCCCACCTAGCCTTGGACGTCTTAGCCATCATATCAGCCAGAGCCTGTGATGTAAATAACATAAGAGAAGAAACAGTAGATGCGAGCTAGGCAAACTAAGCATCTTTTACCGGGGAAAAATGTTTCCTGGACAACTTCTGAATGATATTATATCCTATGTTGTCATATAAGGCCATATCACAATTATGAATAGAAACCAATTCACAGTTTTAGATTTCCACTGAGATATCATATAGTTTGGCTACGCTGTTTTATATGCATGCATGAAGATTGAGGAGGGGTATTCACCTGGATTCCAACAGTTGGTCTTAAATTAGCGAGAACATTTGCTCTCAGGCGGATGTTTTTCGGAAGATTACTCCTCTTCTGCTTTGATCCCTCGTATTTCTCATTTTGGCCTGCTGATTAGAACAACGAGCTAAGGAATACATTGAACCATTTGTTTGT